CATTCGATTCCTATTGATTGGGAGACGAGCTGATTAGTTTTTGGCAATGGCAAGTGCGGCGGTTTCGAAGAATCTTCGTATCTGATACTTGGCAAAGTAATTCAGTTTTTGAGAGAATGGACAATTTTGTGTTGACAAAATAAAAAACCGGTCAAATTGGGGAGACATTTCCAGTGGTTTTGGAGATCCAATGATAAAACTGAAAAAAATGCTACTTGGCGGCCAGAAGTGATCATCAGACATATGCATTCCAAATTATCAGATATTTTATGGAAATTTTAATAAGTACAAATTTTCTTTACATTTCTTTGGGTTGCGTACCAATATTTATAATGTTTAACTATCAGACTGCTTTAAAAAATATGAATTTTTCAAAAAAATAATATAAAACAATCCAAATTTTTCAAAAAAGTCCAAATTTTTCAAAGATTTCAAAATTCCCCAACAACCAATATTTTTCAGTTTTCAAAAAAAAAAAATAAAGCATTTAAAAACTTTAAATTTTAATTTGCCTTGAGGCACGATGTCATGCACCGCTAGTTAAGGCATTGTTTTAAGAAGCTTTGAGGTTAAAATTTAGGCAAGTAACAGCAAGTGCTTTAAGGGGTTAGGGGTACTTGAAATTTTTCAAAAATTGATTTTTATTAAGTGAAAATGTTCTCTGAAAATTTCAAGTTGATCCGATGATTACTTTTTGAGTTATTGGACTTCTTGAGGTTAAAATTTAGGCAAGTAACAGCAAGTGCTTTAAGGGGTTAGGGGTACTTGAAATTTTTCAAAAACTGATTTTCATTAAGTGAAATTGTTCTCTGAAAATTTATACTCAAGATTATTCTCCCTCACCTCCTGATGATTTAAAAGCTTTTAAACCGATTTACGACGATCTCAGCAATAATAATTTACTTTCAAGATGTGTAGTTCAAGATTGAATCCATAATCAGAAAAAATTAAAAGCTTCAACCAACTAGTGTAAAAAATATGCCTAAAAACCGTGAATAATAGTTCTACTATCGTACAAATTGCTGAATACATATACATAATCATTATTATTGATAATGGATACCCTAGGACCTAATTGTGGGCATAATTCCCATTGGTATGCTGAAAAATTGGATGCTGCACGTGTGAAAGTGGCAGATCAGCGCGCCAACGAAAACACTCGGGAGGCCAGAATGCTTTGTAGGCAAAATACAGCAAATAGAAATTTTGGAAACTTGCACAAAGACTGATGGCCCAGAAATAGATGATTCGGATTAAGTAATTCAATAATTCGAATTTCTGTACGTAAATTCAATGTGAAACTTTAAACGCGTTTTTCTCAAAACTATGTTTTTTGAACCGGTGACCACTGTAACTCAAAAACCGCTTAGTAAATTTTAATGAAATTTATACAGCTTTTGCCGCCAGGACCGTTTTTTGAAACAGGGTCAACAAAAACAGCTATAACTTTGGAAATATTTATTTTTTGTTCTGAAATTTTTGTTACATCAAGTCAAAACATTGTATAATAATGCCGTATTACTATTTTTGTAAAGAAACATTGTTTAATAACAAAAAAAAATATTGAAAATTCGCATTTTTTCGTGCCTCCAAGTACCCCTAACCCCTTAAAGAATGTATAAGAGTCTAGATTTTCAGTCAAAGGAATCGATTACCACAATTAGATCACGTTTCATCGAGTTTGCATGTAAGTAAGGAGTAGTTTATCGGTGCTTTTAGACATAAGTGCTAAATGGCGCTGCGAAATAGAGAGGCAAGTGTTTTATCAAATTACAAACCATGAAAGTTCACTTGCTCACTGACCGCATGGACAATCCCTTCATCCCCAATACGAATAGGCACTGATATAGACAAATATAACAACCACGCTTGGGTAGGGCAAATATTAATTGTGTAAGTCATACTTAATTATTTTACATAAACATGGAGGCAATTCCATGATTTAAACAGGGCTTGGAAAATTAATTAAAACTTATTAACTTCCAAACATATTTGAAAATGTTTATATATGATGTTTTAATTAATATTGTTTGCATTGGACATATGAACAATATCTATTTTTCAATTTACCAAATGTAACAAAATCTCATAGCATATACAAATACAAATATATGATATGTATGTCTATGTATATATAAAGTTATAAGATTTGCACGATAACTACAAACGAGTGGTGCATGGCATCGTGCCTTAATGCAAATTGCTGGGATTTAATAAAATATTCGAGGGATTTTAAATGTTTTCAAATAAATTATTGTTTATACTGTAACTTTCATTATTCATATTTTATAGACAAAATATAAGTGTTTATAAATTTTACGGTAACGATTATACATGTTTATATGAAAAGCAAATAAACGAAACTTAGTCAACCGGAATTAAAATGAAGGATCTTATCCATTATTTATAAGAATTACATAAACTAAATTGCAAAGTTAAAATTATTTATTTGAAGTATATAAATAAGCTTCAACATATTAGTTAAAATTAAAATTTAAATCCGAATCATTGTCGACATTTAAAAAAAAATGTTGAAAACTAAAAAAAATGTTTTGAAATTTTGAAATAAAAAAATTGTCTTCCCCAAAATCTTATCGTTCAAAAACATTCGATTCGTATTGTCGGGGAGACGTGCTGGTTACTAGTTTTTGTCTAATTGTAAGGCAGGTGCAGCCGGAGATACGAACAAAAAAGTGCAAAAAATGTCAGTTTTGAAAGTACGGCGCATCCGATTAAAATGATTCAAAGAATATTCGATTCGTATTGTTTCGTATTACGCAGGCCCAGCAGTTTCGGAGAATCAAAAGGTGCAAAGAATAGCAGCGTATGAACGGCTTGTCGAATTAGAGTGATTCAAAAAACATATTGCTTGTGTCGGCGGAATGAAGAAATGTTTTTAGGCAAAACAGGTCCACCCAGCGGCTTGATTAAAAAAAAACATTTTTCAAAATATGTCAAAGGATTAGTAGAGGATTGTATTAATGTTTTCAAAAGCATACATAGTTAAAATTTATTTCTAAACTTTAAAAATTTTAAAGATTCTTCATATAGTTCGGTTCTTCATATAATTTGGTCAAAATGATGTTTGTCATGACGATCAAATCAACCAGGACAAAAACAAAACCTTAACCTTAATACATTGAAATTAATTTCAACATTTATATATATATATATATATATATATATATATATATTTATTTATTTATTTAAATATAATTTGATCATTATACATACGATAAAATACCACGCGCCAGTATCACATTTGAATTTCCACTGAAAATATTTCACATAAAAGCACATTAGAATATATTTAATATTCCATAATAAATACAATTAAATTGTGATTATGTAATGAAGTACCAATTTAAAAATAAAATCAATTATAAATACCTGAAAATCAAAGTAAAAATATAAAATAATACTCTATATGAATAACAAAAATTTATTGAAAAATTATGTATACATAAACATACAATTATACCATAAATAAAATGCTTTAAATAAAAAATTTAATAATGAATATATGTATATACCGCGGTACCTCTAGACGTATCTCTTGAATTAAAGGGTAAAATCATTGAATAATAAGAGGATATGTTTGGCGTTTTAATAAAAACAATTTATTAAAATTCTTAAAATTATTAAAATTATGAAAATTTACCAGCTAAAGGTCATATAATATAATATAATTTATTTAAGAACCAACCAATTTAAACAGTTCGAACATGGTTGATCTTCAGAACATTTCTGCAATACCATAAAAAATGAACAAGAAAAAATAATGAAATTAATAAACAGTAAATTTATTATTAGTATTCAAAAAATTCAAAAAACAGTACTAGACGCAAACAATAGCATTGCTATGTTTATACGAAAAAAAATGTTTCGATATACGAGCGTTGTAACGGATCGAATTAAACTCATGTCGAGGTTCCAGAAATTAATAAACAGTAAATTTATTTACAACATTCAACAAACTTAAAAACCACAGTGATAAAACGAATTAATGACTTTTCAATGTATCTATATAGGAAATAATGCTTCGAGATACGAGCGTTATTACGAATCGTATTAAACTCGTATGTCGGGGTTCGGGAAATTAATAAACACCAAATTTATTTTCAACATCCAAAAAACTTAAAAACCACAATGCCAGAAGGCATTTTAATGTATTTATATGACAAATATTACTTCGAGATACGAGCGTTATTACGGAATGCATTAAACTCGTATGTCGGGGTTCCCGAAATTAATAAACAGTAAATTTATTTTCAACATTCAAAAAACTTATAAACCACAATGCCGGAACGAATTAATAATATTTCAATGTATTTATTTGAAAAATATTACTTCGAGATACGAGCGTTGTTACGGAATGCATTAAACTCGTATGCCGGGGTTCCCGAAATTAATAAACAGTAAATTTATTTTTAACATCCAAAAAACTAACAAAAACCACAGTGATAGAACGAATTAATGTCTATTCAATGTATCCATTTGGGACAAATTGCTTCGAGATACGAGGGATCGGACATACAATTACGGAACGAATTGAACTCAAAATTAATTAACTGTAAATTTATTTTTAACATTAAAACCCACAGTGCTATACCGAATTAATGGCACTTCAATGTATTTATGTGAGAAACATTGCTTCGAGATACGAGCGTTATTACGGCACGAATTCGCATGTCGGGGTACCTCTGTATAAGGTTATGTAAAATTGCTAGATGGATTTTAAATATACAAGATACTTATAAAATAATACATAAAATATATTAATTGAAGAATAATTATATTAATATAATATGTATATTAAAACAATATAATAATTAAAAAATATAAAAAATATGATATAAGAAATTTAAAAACCGGTAAAGATAAAAATAAAAATTATCACAATTGAACCAAAATTTCCATTAATTTTTTTTCCACAATCACTTTTAATAAACACACGCAATTTTTTTAAAAAAAATTCAACAATTCGCAAAGGAACTTACGATCTCCATTGCAGAACGAACACTCACGAACTGAAACCCGTGGACACACTTACAGCCATGATGTGTATTGATCTGTCTTTCTCGCACCGACAAAGTAATATTATCTATTACTCGATTATTTATTAATAACACTCATTTTTAACGGGGGATACTTTTTGGCAAATATTGTAACAATTTTTATACATTGTCTAACATTCGAAAACAATCCGATATAAAGCAATAAACACTGGTTTATAATGATGATCTACGAAGCAATGAAAGATACAGCATGAAATGTCAAGCGTGAGAGTGCGCATGTCTCAGGCACAAAACAGCGTGAGCTGTACCTGCGATGGAAAGGGTCAGCGCTGCACGGTTTGGTAAGGGATTATATAGGCATACTTACAATAAATGTATTCAGATATGTATATTTTATTTTCTTTTAACAACTTGTTTTTTTTATTAATAGTACTAGTTTTTTTTTAAATTTTATAACATTGCTTTTTATGGTAATTATAATGTTAACTGAAAACAAGTGGCGGATGACATCGTGCCTTAAGGCAAATTTCTGAAACTTTCGTACCAAAAATTATTTTTGGTAAGATTTTTGAAAAAATACTTTGAAATCATTGGACTTTTGAGAAACTATAAATTTTTCAAAGAAAATTTTTTTTTGAGAAAAAAATTATTTGAAAAAAAAAAGTTTTCTTTATTTTGATATATTTTGGCACTTTTTACCCCGTATCTCCGAAACGAGTAGACCTGCCTATGCCAAAAAATAATCTGCACGTTTCCTTATCAACATATAAGGCATAGGCAGGTCTACTCGTTTCGAAGATACGGGGTAAAAAGTGCCGCAAACGGTGACTCAGTTTTTAAGAGAACGGAGTCTCTGATTTGAGTAATTCAAAAAATATTTTACTTGTATTGACAAGATGAACTGATTAAATTTTCATAAAGGCAGGTCTAGCTGTTTCGGAGATCTAGTGAAAAAAGTAAATAAAAAATTTACGATCATTTAGCGATCAAAAATGATCATTAGACATACGCACACAAAATTATCAGATATTTCGTAGAGATTTTAACTAAGTATAAATTTTGTATACATGGGTTCCTATGGGTCCGTACCAATGTTTATCTGTAAGACGGCGACGCGGCGCAATCGAATGTTTTTTGAATAATTGAAATCGGTTGAACGGTGTTCCCGAAATCGTCGACGAAAATTTGTATCCGCACACACACATACACACATACACAAACACACAAACACACACATACACGCATACACAGATATGCACATACATCCATTTTTTCTAAGGTATGCCAAAATGTTCAGAAACCTCTGAAACGTAAAGATATATAAAAATTTTCATTTTTATTTTTGATTTTTTTGCGATTTCTATAACTCACCCTACGGGAAGTTAGCTAGTGATGGATGGCATCGTGCCTTAAGGCAAATTTCCGAACCCAAAAATAGAATTTTTAAAAACCTGATTTTTTTTAAATACAAAAAAAATATATTTTTGAACATTTTGACATTTCTGAAAAAAATGTTTTTTTTTATTTCAAACGTTATTAAAATTTTTAACTTTTTTTTTCAAAACAATCGAGCTGTGCCAGCTCGGAGACGATATCAAAGCGCGTAAGCGCTGCGTCGCAGACTAACAGATAAACATTGGTTGGCAAAATATTGTATCCGCATATATATACACAAATAATTGTTTTATTTTAGAATAATTACCTATTAATTAAATTATTACACATGTAACCTACAATTTACTATAACAATTATTTCTGACAGCAAAATTATTTTGTAACTTTGCAGATATATTGAAAATGAAAGTAATAATATAATAATAATTGCTGAAAAAAATATGGATGCAACTCATACTACTCTCGTAGTATGTGAAATATCTCACCTGTCGTAAAATAAACTAGTTGAAAGTGGCAATTAGTCTTTAGGCAAGTTGCATGAACTTCCCGAAATGTGTGAGAATTGCGATTTCAAACAGAATTGTCTCAAACACTTTTAAATTAACTGTAATTAAATTAATTATATTGCACAGATAAGTGCTTGTATGTCCTGAAATTAGTAGCTCATTATTTTAAATTTTAATGAATTAATAATGTTTTACTCATCACGTCACAAATTTTGACTATAATATTTTCTTAAACTTTGATGAATTTTTAACATTAAATTATTTGTCGTAGGGCCGTAACATTTTAGTATGTTTACAAATTTTCAAAATCAGTAAATTATAATTTACGGTTTTTAAATTTTCAAAATCGATTCAAAATTGCGGTCTAAAACGTGGGCAAAAATTTTTTCACTCTTTTGCTATTTATAAAGAATCTGCTTGGCTGATCGTCGCGCAAAATTGATAAACACTAGTCCTTACCGAGTTACATCGAATTACTTTTAAATTTTTAAAATAGGTCTAGCTGTTTTTGAGAAAAAGTGGATTTACGGCAAAAATCTGTTCACATACATAAACACATACATACTTTTTTCTGCACAAACTTGGTCTCATTCAATTCAGAATGACTTGAAATGTCGAAAAAACATAAAATTAGCAAATCAAATTAATAGCAGTTTTATTTATTTGTGGCAATGAAACTAATTGCAGTACCAACTTAGGAAGATCAAATTAATTTTAGAAAATTATACCATAAAACCAACTTAAATTAATATCATATGTGTGTAGAAATTATACAAAATAACTATAAAATTTATTACTGTGTTTTATTTGTTCAAATTTTTAATATTGAGTAATGCGTCAAAAGTTAAAAATCATTTTCGATCATTTTTTTTGCTTTTATGCTATTCATAATGAAACGGCTTGACTGATCGTCGCGTAAAATTGATAAACACTAGTCTTTATCTAGATACATCAAATGGCTTTTAAATTTTTAAAATCGGTCTAGCCGTTTTTGAGCAAAAGTCGATTTACGGCAAAAACTTTATTTACAAACATACACACACATGCATTTTTCTGCACAAATTTGGTCTCATTCGATTCAGAATGGCTTGAAATGTCCAGAAAACACAAAATTAGCAAATCAAATTAGTAGAAGTTTTATTTGTGGCAATAAAACTAATTGCAATACCAACTTAGAAAGATCAAACTAATTTTAGAAAATAAAACAATAAAAAGAAGTTAAATTAATATTATTTGTATGTCGACATTATACAACATCACTATAAAATTGATTTCTGTATTTTATTTACTCAAATTTTTAAATCTGAATAATGTGTCAAAAGTTAAAAACAATTTTCGTTTTCGTACTGATTACGGCCCTGTGATATTATCATGGCGTTGGTACCACTACGGCTGGGCAGCCAACATGCACAGATGGCATGTCGATCGCGTTGAGTCTGACAGTATGATTTGTGCAGTAGAAATGTTTTGTGTATTATATGCATAATAATGAATTTTTCCACACGTTAATTAATAAGTAACAAATTAAACTAAAATAAATTAAACAAAAGTGACAGTACTTAACCCAGTGTTTCGGTGTATTAATAAAATAGTCTAAAATGTCAAAAGTGTATGAGAAAAATGGCGTTTGAGGAATGAATACAATAAGTATTTAGGTGCTGGAGATCAGTGAAAATGTAATCATGTATCGTAGATGGCTTTATTGTCATTATCATGACATGCTTAAGAAGATAACAAATCATTCAGAATAATCTTATTCAATCGTCCAAAAGATACTAGATATTGTGACAATCTGGTTAGGTTAGGTTGTCACTGACGGCTGTGGGCAGACAAGAGCAAAATTCAATTCTCACACGATGTAGCAAAATGTCCAGGAATTCTTGATATTTATAATTGTGATAAATGATAAATTAATTTGTGTATTTTTAAATGTATTCCTCACCTTCTGGCATAATGTGCGCGAACTATTAAGAAAAGTGATTATCGTTTATATCTGACATTTCGGTTTGACGTTTCTTTAAAATGTTATTTTGTGATTAAAATTTATAGTTGTGGTTAGTGATTTAGTAGTTTGAAATTATGGCGTTCATGACAAAGAAGAAAAAATATAAGTTTTCAGTTGATTTTCGTCTGGAAGAATTGCTAGAAGTGCCATTTGTTAGCGCCGTTTTATTTGCGAAGATCCGGCTGTTGGACGGCGGTTCATTCACTGAACACAGCACAAGGTCAGTTTATGATTATTGCACCTTTCTCTATCACATTCCCGAAACTTTAAAAATAAATATGATGTACAAGAATTAGTTAGCTAAGTATCTACTGCAACGAATATTAGAAATATAGAACCACTCGAATTATTTGCACAGATATATATATATATATATATATATATATACAGGGCCGGTCCTGGGGTCCTCAGTGCCCGCATGCAATTTTTTTTCTAGCGCCCCCCCCCCTAATAATTTTAACTGTTTTAATAGTTTATTGTTAAAATAATATAAATATTAACGTAATTTTTTGTATTTAATTTAATTAATCATTCCGGATTTAGTACATAAAAAATTAATCTAAATATATAATCTAAAACCGTATAAAACTCATTTGCGGGTTGATCACAATCAAATTTTTACGTTTTCACTTATTTCTATCGTAAGTGTAATATTAATATTTGGGTTTTGAAACATTTAAGTTAGTTAGTATGCCATATTTCCTATTGAGCAAATCATGATAAGAGGACAAAAAAACTAGCCTTTCATTTTTAAACATAACACTCGTATTTCGTGTTGGATTTTTTAAATTTTAATTTAATTTATTTTTTCATTACTTACAATATCCAAAATTGCATCGTATACTTCTTATTGATATCGTAAGGGCCAAACTCTATTCATCTTTACTTTCCCATTAAATTCAGAGTATCAGATTGTTGTTTTGAAGTTAAGTTTTTAACGTATTTTGAAGGTATTGTCCAAAGATTAGTAAAAAATGCAAAAAATTACATATTTCTTGAACTAAATCGAAACACAAAAAACTAATTATATTTGTATCTGTATTAATTTCGCATAGTTTATAATCAAATTTAGAGTATGAACACCACTATGTATAAAAAAGCTCAAAGATTTTTGTTCCAATGTAAATTTTGCTTCCATTTTTCATATTTTCTTCATTTCCATGGCTTCAAAATTCAAAGTTTATCAGATGCAAAGCTTTTGCTATAAAAACAAAAGTTACAATTCAATTTCTCGGAATAAATAAGCCATTTTCTAAGCACTGACTTCCCATTTTCCATTTTTTCTGATTTAATTTGTATCTATTATTTTAACAAGTTCCGTTTCAACTAGTTAGGTAAACTATTATAATCTATTAAGTATTCTTGATTTTATATTGAAAAAAAAAAGTAATAAATTAAAATTTTTATTTTCGAACCTCATTTTGGCGCCCCCTAAGGCTTGCGCCCGCATTTTTCGCATGCATCGCATGCAAGGTAGGACCGGCCCTGTATATATATATATATATATATATATATATATATATATATATATATATATGTAGAGTTTCGAACAAGAATCCAAAAGTAATAAAAAACAAGAAAAGTTTTTAATAAACAATTTCTTTATTTATTTATTGATTTACTGTCAACGTTTCGGAACTAGGTAGGAACTTTTGGATTCTTGTTCAAAACTCTACAAAATATACACAAATCCAAGATTCTACCATTCAATATATATATATATATATATATATATATATATATATATATATATATATTTACACAAATTAAATCTAAGTTTATTTCTTAGTATATACTACTTAGTATATCAGATTAATTGCTCTAATTGCGAACTTTTTCATATCGGAGAAACTAGCCAAAACTTGAGTAAGCATAAATTTCTGGCAGGTGACAGGTCTGTCAAAATGTTTTAAATGTCAAACAATGATATGTTGTTTTTTGTAATTTTTTTCATTTAATTCTACAATATTACTATATTTTTATAATCATATAAATCCTTAAAATTTCTTTTATCAAACTTCAAGAAGATTTATCAAAATACGAATAACCGTGTAGAAGGAGTTTTCATTCATACATCTGAACAGAAGAATTTTATATATGAGATATATATAGGGTAAAGCGGTGCTTTAAGAAGGTCCGTCACCGATATCTCAAAAACAAGTAGAGTTGAGAATTTATTAATAGCAATATTTGAAAGTAGAGGGAAAAATATGAACTACCAGCAATCACCCTGAATCTTACGACGTTGTACTACGGCATAATATATTTTCAAGCCTACGTTATTTAATTGTTTAATGAGATGTATTGTTATCTTCAAGTCAGTTTCAACGTTTTTTTTATGCCTCTGTATTTTAACCTTTTTTATGCAAACATATTACGTATGGTTTTGGGGTAAATAGAATCATCTTAGCCTGTGTCCTGTCAAATATGTAATAAATAAAAAATAGTAAATATGAAAGTAAATTAAAAGTAAGTTAAAATACCTATTTTACAAGAGATAAATTGAAAAGGTAGGTATTATTTATGACGTATAACCAGATCAAGGTTATATACAGTGTTATCTCTGTTTAAAACGTACCCATGATATTTATGTTTTGCATTGGTGGAATAATGTAACTATTATTTTGTAAAATTCCTTCTAAATTAAAATGATACATTGGGCCTTTTTGCCTTGCCCCCTGGCTGTCCCATTATTACCTCGCCTTTGGGATAAAAAGGACCAGGTGACAAGTTTTTGAAACAACAAAAAAAAATACATTTCTACAATAATGAATTTGCTGGAAGTGCTCCCGATTACGTGGACGAAAAATAGTGTCCAAACATACACACACATACATTCTTTCTAAAGTATGCACTTTTCCTTAGGTATGACAAAATGTTCAGAAATCTTTGAAACCTAGTTATATGCAAAAAAAATATTTTCGATAATCTTTCGATTACCAACTGTCCTTTCCATCTAATTCACAATTATTATATGTAAAAAAAGTTTTTGTTTTATATTTTACGTTGAATGTTGAGAAAACACGCATAAATCAATCAACATTCAGCATATACATAGTGTAGAGCGGGGCACAAAGGTCCAATTTGAAATTGAGCAATAAATTGTGAAAATGTTCAGTAGAACTCTCAGCTAATTAATTTGTCCTTGTAAAAATGAGTTTTTTTGCTGTTTTCCAAGAATTTTAAATTTAAAAGGATTTTATAAAATAATAGCTACATTATTCAAACAATACAAAATATGAATTGCATGGGTGCAAAATTGTAAATAACCCTGATCTGGTATTTAGTAAGAAATATTCATCAGCAGGGTTGGAATAACTATTTATTTAATTTAACTCTTGTGGAATTGCTTTTTTCAAACTTAATTAACTTACTTTATTATTTTCTCTTATTTATTTTTTACACCTTTCCCAGGGTAAAGTTTTAGTTGGTCCTTTTTATCCCACCCAGGTGTAAGTTTTTATAGAGGTTACATAGAAAACTGTTGAATCGAACTTAAGATTAATAAAAAATCTTATACAATGATTAAATAACATATACCTAAAGTTATATTAAGTCCCGCTGTACTCTATGTATTTATATATTATGGTTTAAAATTATCGGCCAATTTAAAGTGAATTTATTTGTTGTTCAATTTTAATGGATAGGAAATAAATTTATTTCAATTTTAATTAGTAGAACAAAGAAATAATAGTTGATCTGGATTAAATAATAACTTAAATAATTATATGTGGTCCATGCATCATTTTCACTTAAAAGAATGTTAATATTTTTATGATAGTGAAAGGAAAGAATTCGAATATATAAAAATAATACATTTTTAAATAAAAAAAATAAAAAATATTAGTTACATATTGATACATACTTGTTAATGTCAATTTCAGTTTTAAAAATAATTAAGCAAAACGTGTATTTTCGTGTATTTTCTATTCTAAGCAATTCTAATTATTTAATTTCAAATGTTCTAATATTTTTTCCGTTTACAAAAATATGGTTTCAAAAAACTGAGGACGTTACTCACAAAATTTTATGAAATAGAAAATACTCTCTCAATTGCAATCGAACTAGACTTAATCATTTTTAAAACCTAATATATTAATTCTAAGCTTTTTGATCTTTTATTTGTGGCTCCTAGACCTAAACACTCTTTTTTTAAAGTTTGATTAGAGGAAGTCACTTCTTCCACCATAACAGAGTTATATTATTTCAAATATTATCAAGCTGATATGATTGAAAGAATCAAAACGCTTGCCTCCACCTGGTATTTTTTATCATTTTCCATTTATATAGTGAAAGCCGATTTTTCTTCTGAAAAACCAGTTTTCGAATTTCATAATTTTTTTCTGATAACCGGATTTTAAAACTGGTTTTTGAAAGCCGACGAACTATGTATATATATGTATATGCAGACAATATTTGATGCGTGTTCAAAACTAGTGGATGATTTGAGGTTGGAAAAAAGAGAGCTAAGGGTTAAGTCTATGTTACAAATTAATCTTAAGTCGACCTTGTGGAACAGTTTTTACTCCGTGAAGCCTCCTTACTCTGTGAAAATTATCAGGTGATACTCAATAATATTTCCAAATTTGTTTCCTCTTAACTAGCTTAATACCGAACCTGTTAACCTACCCTTACGTTTGGAAAAAATTAAAGATTAACTTCTAAATCTTTGCCTTTTATATGATGTATTGCCCTTGAAGAACTTACTCATATATATATATATATATATATATATATATATATACATCTTATAACTTGAATACATTTTAAAAAACCATTTTTGCGTGCAGCATATCGCCAAAATAAATTTTGCATATCAATGTCTGCTCGTTTAAGCATTTTTTATCTTCTTGAGTTATTTATGATGTCTGATAAGTTCCAGATAGGTATTTTAAGTGTAAATTTTGTATGTGGTCAAGTAAACATTAAACGTAAGAGATTTATATATATATGTATATATATATATATATATTTATATATATGTGTGTGTGTGTGTGTATAGTGTGGCTCATTAGAATTAGTTTTGCGTATTTGCTCAAAATATCTGTAAAGCAGTTGAGTTTTGTGTATACATTTGTTAATTCTGAAATAGTATTATGGGTTTCTTAATTTACGTGGATACTTTGGCAATTAATTCTACAAATTAATACTCGACAATCGCAATTCAAAACATACAAACATATACTTTTTCCAAATTTGGTCTCATTTGATTCAGCATGG